TTTTGTAAAATAATTCTGGAAATATAAATGAATATAAACAGAAATAAACATAAATAGAAATGACAGAAAATCAATTCGAGCCCGCTGAATTCACAGTGTTTCCTTAAGGAATTTAATCCTTTCCTAGTACCCAAGGTTATGGATTATTTCCTCCCAGGATAGAACGAATTACACACTGGTGTAGTGGTACTGCAAACCCCAGTGTTTCAGCAAAGAGTAATTAGAATTGCTTAACTCTTTAAGAGCTAGAAGAAGAACAATTACTTATATACTCATAAAAAACCTCCTCCTCTTCCAATATGGGACAATGTCCATTTACCAAGGGGGAAAACTTAAAATTTCACTCAAAAATTTTATTTTCCTCCATTCTCCATTCACCCTCTTTTAAGTATTTAGTATATTAATTAAATACATAAGAAACCCAACAAATGAGTTCTTTAACTAAAAGATTGGTATTTTGTGTTAAACTGTCCTATGTAACTGTATGTGTGAAATTGATCAATGCCAGGTGGGCGCTCGACGAGTTGACACGTGGAATTGAACACATGTATGATATGAGTCAGCAAATAGTTGGTACAAGGTACAAACATATGTCCAGTGTTGAATAAGTTTGAAGGCATTTGAACCGAGAACAAAGATTTGAAAGGAATACATTGATTGAAAAAGACAACATTCAATGAGTAGTCGTTACAAAGAATCTCTGTACTAATGATTAAATGTTATTCAGTCATCAAGAGGGGTTTTATTCCCATTAAAGAAGAGCTTGATTTGGAGATCTTGTCTCCCTGAATAGGAAAATTTATAGCCATAGTTGGACACAAAAAAATCACCTGGACTCAAAGGCTATAATTTGCTTTTTCTATATCAAATTACTCTCTTTCTTTAGTTCCTAATATTGCTCTTATTACTGCTTTCAGAGAAGCTAAGTCCACAGTCTAGCTCGTATTTTCTTTAAGATATTTTAATATCTTATTTCTGTTCTTATTATTTTCGTATTCTTGGATCAAACTAATTCATGTATCTATAAACCACGTTACAAATTCAACTGTACCGTTTTACGGGTAAACAGTTTGGTGCCCACCGTGGGGCATAGACAATTGTGTAATTACTTTGATCCATTCATCCGTCACTAATGTAGTTTATTCTTGTCTTCAGTAAAAGAAAAATCATATACGGCAGCTAACGATGTGATCATCTCGTACAATATTGAAACAAATAATGAGTGTGAGGATACGTTCCAACATGAAGATTCAACTAGTAAAACTTGCAACGAAGGAGATGAAACAACTCTGGTTAGTGAAGAACAAAATCCTCGGTATGTGAGAAGTCCAACTCCTAATTATGCAGATTATGAACATGTTGTCGAAACAGTCAAAATCTTGAGGGAACAACAAAGGAAAATTATGAAGCATCTCTCGAGGCAAGATCGGGTGATGATTGAATTGAAGCAGGCACTTTCGGTTGCTTTCAATAATGCCAATGAAGGGGTTCATATTCCTCCCAGCATATCTGCCAATCAGATAGTTCAAAGGATTGGTAACGTCGCTCCAAGGGAGGAGTTCGATTTTAATGAGAATGAAGCATATGGTTCAGGTAGTGGATCCGGGAATGATAACAATGCTAATGATCCTCTCATAATCGAGCTCATGAGATTCATGAGGGTAATGAATGAACAGATGAAGCAAAATGCTAAGGAATTTCATGCTCGGATAGATTAGATCCCGGGAGCACTACCGGTGTTGAAGGGACCGAATTCAAAGAAATATACACAGTTTCCATTCAAACAAAGTGCAGCCCCGGAGTTGATTTTGAAAAGATTCAAGATGCCAGATATCCCAAGTATGATGGGACTTCAGATCCACAAGAACTTATCGCGACTTACACTACGATTGTAATGGGAAATGATTTGGCCCACACAAGATTGAATCTATTTTGTTGAAGAAATTTGGCGAAACCCTAACAAAAGGTACTTTAACTTGGTATTCTCTTTTACATGAGCATTCAATTGACTCTTTTGAATGCTTGCAGATTATTTTATCAAAGCTCATGCTAGGGAAAGAATGGTATAGGCTAGAAAGGAGGACATATTCAGAATCTCCCAAAAAGAATCTAAATTATTACGAGAGTTCGTGATCCGATTTCAGAAGGGGAGGATGTTGTTGCCGACAGTACCAGATGAGTGAGCAGCTGAAGTGTTCACCAAAGGTCTCAATCCATTAAGCTCCGATGCCCCCAGGAAATTGAAGGAGAGCTTGTTGGAATTTCAGGCAACCACATGGACAGATGTCCATATTCGTTATGAATCAAAGATCAAAATTGAATATGATCAACTCAACTCTTTGGTGTCATCCAAAGGATCGTGATCAGAATTAGAAGAAATTCAAAATTGATTTTGATGCAGATAGTAGGTCTTCTATGAGTCGCATTAAGCCTTGCGAAAGGGTTGAGGGATGATTCTTTTAAACAGAATTAGTAATTGCTAGTAGGGATGTGCATGGATCGGATCGGATCGGATCGAATTTAGCACTATTCGGATTCGGATTTCGGATTCTACAAAAAATGCAATCCTAATCCGATTCGAATTAATATTGGATCGGATGAGATTCTAAAGTTTGGATCGGACAAATATTTTGGATTGTCGGATCGGATAGTCCGCATTATTATGGCTTATTGCCAATCATACTCACCCTTTCTTAATGCTCTCTGTATCTTGCCACTAAGATTGGTGATTATCAATTAAAACAAGAATGAATTAAGTTATGCTCTTGTTGTAGCAGATGCCGCTAACTGCTAAGGCGCTAACTAACATAGGAATTTTCAAAGACTAAGGAATTTCCAAAGACTAGGAATTTCCAAAGACGTTTCAATGCTACTTGACGTTTCAAACCACAATCTGAATTACATTGAAAATTTGAAAGGAAACAATTGTCTTTCATTATAATAAACAAAACACAATCTTCATAGCAAAATAAAACAAACCAAAACCCCCCACAATCTAATAAACTGAATCAACAACAATTCTTTAAAAGATTACACAAAAGAGTTCCAAGTTTCAACTTCCAAAAGAGTGCCTTACCGTTGCGTCGAGTTATTTGGTCGTGACTGAAAAGGGAGGCGGAAGTCGAGCAGGGAGTTGGACTCTTGGAGGCGGAAGTCGAACATGGAGTTGGAGTGTTGGACTATTATAGAAGAGAGGCGGAAGTCGAAAGACTCGAAACAAAGAAATGTGAGAAAGAGTCAGAGAGATATACGGGAATAGTTATAACCTAAGTGGGCTGGGCCGTGGAAAAATGAAATACTCTCTAACCCTATAATTTTAGTAGTATATAAATAGGTCCATATAATTCGAATTTCGGATCGGATAAAAATTATACCAATCCGGAAATCCAAAATTTTATAAAACATAATCCATATATATCCAATCCAAATATCCGAAATTCGAAATTGAGCGAATTACGGATTTCCGATATTTGATCCAACTGAACAACCCTAATTGCTAGCAATACGTCAGTACCCAATTTGGAGGATGTCAAAAGTACAATGTGGAACTAGGAGGGTATTAGTTGTGAACTTGTGATCGAATGAACCTAATGAAAAGAAAACTTGTTTGATGTGGATAAATGAAACCAATGAATAAATTGAGGTCCAGGAAACAAAAATAGACAAATTAATATAAAATAGGATAAATATTTCTTATATAAGAAGCAAAACTTTGATCCTAGTGACATGTCTTAAGACTTAGCATAAATAAACTCTAAACAAATAATATCATTAATAGGCTATTTTGTTAAAAAGTTTAAATTATGTATATCGTCAGTATAAAACTTTATTTTACATTATTAGGTCGATCAAAACTATCAACAAGTAAATCTTCAAAAATAAGAGATTGATAATTCGAAAAATAAGGTAGATTATCGGTTATAACAAATAAAAATATAAACTCCTTACACTTCTTTATTATATATGGCATTACAATCACTTCGGAAAAAAACTTACCCGCACCGGGTGTTTACACCAATTATATTCAATAACTAAATGACACTTGTCACTTAATCTAACTATAACTATTGGTGCCTAATCATAGTTAACCTTCATTTGTTTTGCACATAATTTAATTAATAATTAAATATACCTAATAATCTAGCTAGCTATTCCGATGGTGTTTCTTTGTTCTATAACTGGATAATGCTTTTGAATTCTGAAATAGTAAACGATAAAGATTATTTGCATAAAAACTTAAATTGATCATCTCTTTTTTATTTCTTCTTTCCACTGAACTTAAACAATTAGCTAAAGTAAATAAAATAAAATAAATATCATCCTGACCTTATAGTGGCCGGTCAAATAGTATTTTATGTGTAATAATAGTTAGTAAATATCTCTATTTCTAAAGATTAAGAACTTTTAAGTTAATGGCTTTCGCAATCTTGTATTTATTCCTATAATTATTGTAGGAGAAGACAAGATTTTGCCCAGGTATTTCACAAAGAAACAGGATTAGAACTCAGATTAAGTTAGGGGGAGGATGAGGACTATGAATCTCTAGAGTCATTTCAGTACATGATACAAGATGCAACAAGAACGCAAAGAGGATGATTGCGGGGAAATAAACCAAAGAAAATGACGGCAACCCTAGAAGTATGTAATGTTAGTTACTATATAATTAAATGGTCTCTTATAAAAAAAACTATTTATTAAAATTCGTAGAAGACCTGAGTTTATCTCCTATTGTTTATTTAACTATACTTGATGTAAATACCCACTGCAGGTAAGTTTTTTCCGTCACTTAGGCATGCAATATTAACGACAGTAGAACAAATATCAAACAAATGTACCAATAGTCTGTTTGGCCAAGCTTCTAAAATTACCTTCCAAAAGTATTTAAAACAATTTGTGTTTGATTAAATAATTTAAAAAATATTTTTGAGCAGCAATCAAAAAAATATTTTTTTTATCAGAGTCTCTTTTATCTCAGTGGAGAAAGCAACAAGGAAAGAAACAATAGGCACAAAAAATCTCCACAACCTTATAAATCATACGATCAGATATCTTTTTGGACTGTACTCCTTTTTTATGCAAACGCATTACGTATCTAAATTCTAATACTATTTCACATCCCCTCTCTCTGAAACCCTTGAATAATTGTTGTTCAATCATCTCCATCTGCTAACGCATGTTGGTCCTTTTGTCTCCTCACCCACCATTATTCCATTTCCATGGTTATCATCTTTTCCACCACGCACAACCACAACTATTCGTAAGAGTGCAATTGTCTTTGATAGACTACTTTGATAATGTCACTCAGGAGGCAACTGCAACAAGATGCCACCCCTCGACCCGATGGCACCGATTCTTCGGGGGACAAGCGTCGCCGGAGAGTTCCTCCTCTCAAAAGGTCAAAATTATTGGGAGCAAAGGAGTATAAATTACTTTGAGAACAAATGAATCTTTTCGTTTCAGTTTGTTTTACACTTTGCTTATGAGAGTATATTTTATCAAAATTTGGATGTTTGAAAATTACTGTAAAAGTAGTAATTTTGAATTTTCAGTACGGCTTATGGAAAATCTGGGTTTGGGATGTGATGCGACGTCCCAGCTATGAACTGGTTAATATTTGAAAGGTTCCTGGGATGGATTAGTTGAAATTTGAGATGGATCGCGGTTTTCCATTATCTCTTTAGTCTATTTTAGTTTTAGTCCGCGGTGGAAAATAATATCGTCTCTAAGCTTAGTTAGTGCTGTTTATTTTCTTTAGAAGGTGGCAATTAGTGCACTGGTGAAACCAGGAATTGAGCTAACGGTGTTCAAGATTTAATATACATGTATAAAATGTAATATTTAACCTATATAGACAATATAACTTCCAATTAAGGGTGTTCAATTGACCGCCCTTCCCTGAGCTTAGCTCTGCCACTGCGGTGGAGGTTTTGCATATCATGGATTAGATGTAGAATGAAAAAAGTGGGTGGAGTTGTTACTTTTTTACTGTGCCTGTAACAGATTATGGATTACCTTTTTTCCATGTTGATGGTTAATGTGTGGGTACTTCCACTCTCTGAATGCTCGTATATGTAGTCCAAACACCCTGCGTTAATTCATTTTTGTAGTAGTGAACTGGATTTTGAGATGAATTTGCCAAAAAATATACACCGAGTTCCTGTCCCTTTATTTGTCTGTCCTGCAATTTTGTTACTGATCGTTCTTTCTGTTATTTAATGCAGCGTGATTGTGGAAGTAATGAATATGCGCAAGGCGCAAAGCTGTATGGCGCCAGCTTTGGAGCCATTGCTTCGTCGTGTGGTAAGTTCATTTTTTCTGAACGTTCATTATTTCCTTCATAGTCTATGGCGCGATTTATCTCCTTGAGCTCCTCTTGAGTGATATGTAACCTGTTTCATATTTCTCAGCAATTGCAAAGTGTCAACCCTCTCCATTTAGAGGTCGGGTTGCAACAAAAAAGTATTCAGAAAGGCACAAGATTTGAATGTTGTGTCCCAGAGTACTAGTCCTATGCTTATGGTCATGAGCTTTGAACGACATCACCCATAATTTTAATTTGAGAGTCTAATTTGTTTAATTTTCCAAGATTCCACTCTGTAACCTTTTCTTATTTGCGAATGTGCGCTTTCCTCTTCCCTTTTCTTGATGCTTAACATAAAAAGCATGAATGATAAATGCGATCGCACCAGTGGCTATGTAGAAAAGTTTCAGTGCTTCAAGCTGTGTGGTTTGTGATGTCAGCTTTGGTGACATAAATACATCTTATGCCGTTGCTTATTTAGTTTATAGTATTTTCTGTCTTAGTCCACTTACCATAATGATACTCTCTATACAATGGAAGCTAAGCTCAACATATATCCTACTATCATCCAGAAAGTCGCGTCAAACCAAATTTCACACTTTCCTGTAAAATCAGAAGGTAACTTGTCATTCCTACTTTCCTATTTAGCTTCTAAGAATATGTGTCCTATTCGATTTCTGTTTAGCTTCAAATAAAACTCATTTGCAACGCTTGTGTCAAATCGGACACGAACTTGCAATTTGCGTCTGCAGGAATTTTTCCTTTTCTTTTCTTTAAACTGTCATGATTAGCCTCATGAATAAGAAATGAACTTATTTTAACTTTTTGCTACAGGTAAAAGAGGAAGTTGAATTGGCCCTCAGGAACTACATGACAAGTATCAAAAGGTCTATTATTGGATTTGGTGCTCTTAATATTCAGATGCTTTGTGTGCTTAATTCTGTTGTTATAACTCAACTGTAGTTGTTTTTTTTCTTCCTCTTTTGCACCTCTTGTAGGAATTCCACGAAAGGTGTATACCCTTGTGAATTTAGAAACCTGAAGCTGAAGTTTTTAGATTCCATATCTCCCCCTATATTCACGGGAACTCGAATAGAAGGAGAAGAATCCAGCCTGAAGGTTGTACTAGTTGATGCTCTAACTGAGCAAGTAGTCTCTACTGGTCCTGAATCCTGTGCAAAAGTAGAAATAGTGGTGCTTGAGGGAGATTTTGATGGTGAGGAAGGGGGCAATTGGACCGTAGAAGAATTCAAGAACAACATTGTGAGAGAAAGGGGAGGAAAGAAACCTCTCCTTAGTGGGGATGCATTTTTAAATCTCAAGGAGGGTATTGGTTGGGTGGGTGATATTTCCTTTACAGATAATTCAAGCTGGACAAGAAGTCGTAGATTCAGGCTGGGGGCAAGGCTTGTCGATAGCTTTAAAGGAAGCAGAGTAAGAGAGGCAAAGACGGAGTCCTTCATAGTTAGGGATCACCGTGGAGAGTGTAAGTTCTTCGTACTCCTTTGTTTTAAAAAAATTTGGGGTAGGATAATCTTGCAAGTCTTAAATGATAGATGCTGTTGCTCTTTAAAACTTTTTATTCCAATTCTAAAATACCGAATATCCATTTTTAGCATTGACAGGATATAAACATCATTATTGGTTTTTTGGCTCGGTTAAGTGGATGTTTTTATAAGAACTGTACTCAAACCGGAAAACCGAAACTGTAACACCAAAAACTATCTCAACAAACCCAAGTTGACCGGAGTGGTTTCTTCATATTTAACCTGATAATGAGCTCAGAGTTAATAAATCTAAAAGGGCAAAATGAAGGAATGAGATAATGATGGAACATTTTCGGAATCAAATGGAACATCTGGTATCAAACAACTGTTAGTAGTTTCAAGTATGAGATAAAACACTGTCTAACTTCCTGCTTTCTTCATAGTGTACAAGAAGCACCATCCCCCATCTCTTTCAGATGAACTTTGGAGGCTGGAAAAAATTGGTAAAGATGGAGCTTTCCACAGGCGTTTGAGCAAGGAAAGAGTCAACACAGTGAAAGATTTTCTGACTCTACTCTATCTTGATCCTGCAAGGCTTCAAAATGCAAGTATTTTGGCATTCTATCTTGCATGTTAATCATAGAATCCAACAAACATGTCATTTGATTGATTCAACAGTTTAATTTGTTATTGATTGAATAGCAATGAAGATGACTATAATGATGGTTGTCAAACGTCTGGTTGACTCTTATGGTTATTGAAAACCTGATTAATGCTTTGTTTAAACCGGAGTTTATGCGGTTATTCGACGCCTATGATTTTCTTTAATATAACACAAGTTAAAACTTCTGTATATGTTACAACTATGTTGTTACAATGTACAGGATGGAATCTTTTTTTGCTTTCATCCTCTGGGTCCTTGTATCTTTTTGATGTTGATGTTTGACTAGTGGATTAGCGTCATAAAGCATCCTCTGTCTTCATTGAGAAGATCCATACCAGACTTTGGCTTTGTTTACACCGAGTGTCTAAGTGAACACCTTGAGTGAGATTAAGATATTTGTTGATCCATAGATTTAGTATTATTGTTCCCTCATGTTTTGAATAAACTGAAAACTCTTGTTTTTTACTTTATCCATGGAAATCTTGCAGGTTCTTGGGAGTGGTATGTCCACTAAAATGTGGGAAGTGACAGTGGAACATGCTCGAACATGTGTACTTGACAAGAATTTGTACTTGTACCGACCATCTGGATCTATGCAATCGAATGGAGTGGTTTTTAACATCGTTGGACAAGTGACGGGACTTCTTTCAGATTGTCAGTATCTTCCTATTGATAAGTTGTCTGAAACTCAAAAGGCATGTATCTTTGCATTAAAAGTTCTCTCTTCCATGTCTGTCTTATGCCGTTTTTTATCTTTGCAAGAAATTTGCTTTGTTGTCCAAACTTAGCTTGTTGAATTGAGCATTGTTTAGCAGTTTCCTTTGCTTCTGTAGGAATCTGGTTTAAACCAATAATATCCTTTGTTATATTCAGGATGATGCTCGTGATTTGGTCATTGGTGCATTCAGACACTGGGAAGGAGTAGTTTCCTTTAAGGACGAGTCATCTATGATGGACTATGCTTTGCAATTTTCCACTGTTCAGTTGTCCTCAAGCTCACCCATGATGGCCAATTCTGATAGCAGCAGTGATCTTTTGACTTCCCAAAAGGTTAGCATATGCGATTATCAGCAATTGATTGCATCAACACCTGATAACTTACCATCCATCTCTTCAATAGAGAGCTTGGATGATTATATCTTGCATGATATAGACAAGATGGACGTTGTTAGCTTTGACCAACCATTGAGTTTTCCTAGCCAAGACTCCAACTCCTTCATGGACGATACTGATTCTTTCACTCCACCTTTCTGTGCGGATATGCATTTTCCTTTCTTTGCCACTGATTCTTCCCTTCCTGGTCCAACATCGCCTGATCTACACAGTATCATGAACAGCTTTCTTGCTCATAATGAAATTGTCCCTCTGGATAAAGCTCAAAGGAGATGGAAAATGTTATTTAGTGTGTTTAGGTGGTTCTCAGTTAGGAGGATTATAAAAAGGAAAACCGTTGTTTCTCAAAACAACAAGTGTGTGTTATACTGAGGTAAGATCATCACTAGGAAATTGCTGCCCGATGCATAATCGTGTGCAGTAGCTGAATAAGAGTAGACTTTCTTGTTGATATGTGTAGGATTAGCCACTTCTTTAGTTAAGTTCTGATTCTTTTCTTTTCAAGAAATTATTGTTGTCACAAAATGATGTCTTTCAAGCTGCCAGCTCATCTGAATGAAAAGATTTTGTAGTTGCTAGGCTGCAGTGTTTGTCTGTGTACTTGTTTATCATCTATTCCAAGGGAAATGCTACCCACTCCATATAGTTGTCTGCATATGATTTAATGGTTAAGTTACAGTTCCAGCCTATAACTCTTCTTTTATTTTGTACAAAAACCTTATTAAATCAGAGTACTTAAATTTTATCAAATACCAACATAAACAATATTTGCATAATCAAGCTATTTAAAAGTTGACTGCATGATGCTCATATTAAGCTCCTTGTTAAAATGTTATAATTATCTGCCATGAACGAGATAGTACAATTAGTGCGTAGTACAAAACTACGTGGTAACTCCTGAAAACTAATGCCAAAAATGTTGTTATAAATGGAGTTGAATTGATTTCGAACCAGCCAGAGTAGGCATTGATAGGAGGGAGGCCTGCTCCTCCGATTGAGAGCCCGTTTGGATTGGCTTAAAAAAAGTGAATTTTTAACAGGGGACTTTTATCTAGTTATACTATATTAGAAATTTATTTACCATTGTTCTTTATGTTTTGTAGTTTTTAATAAGTATCTAGGTTTTTCTTACAAATTGTGTAGATTGCTCCTTAAAAGGCTCCCACCCCATTGTTAGTGCCTTCAATTAAGGGATTCAATTATATCCTTTCCTTTTTTTTTTCACTCTCCTCTTCTCTCTCCTTTTTTTACAACAAAATTCCTTAATCATGACCAGAATCTCCATCTTCTCTCTTCTCACCATTGCCGATAATTTTATATTATTAAATCATCAATTGCATCGTTCTTTTGTTGGGAGACCAGACAACACTGAAAATGAAGAAATATTCAGGAATTGTATGATAAATGTATCATAATTGTATTTAAATTGTATCAGATACATCAATATGTAAAACGTAATTGTATCATACGTGTATCACAATTGTATATAACTTGTAGATGGTACATTAATATCCAAAATAATACCTGATACAATACTAATAAAATTAATATATAATTATCATATATTTGTGATACAAACTGTGAAATTCGTCACGATCTCACAACTGCTCATAATTCAAGTACAAATTTGAAGCAATCCTGAAAGAATTCTGACACAATTCTGATATAATTATGATACAACTTAAAACCGACTCTAAACTTAAACTGATACAATATCGTATTATACTTGTATTAGTATTGTATCATGTATTGTTTTAGGTACAAATTCTGATACAATTCTAAATTATGATACAACTTTGATCTTCATCTTTTTCAAGTTTCAATTTAAAACATCCACCTAGAACCGACTCTAAACTTATATTATAATACAATATTGTATTTTAATAGTATTAGTATTGTATCAGAATTGTCTTAGGTATTGATATATCAAATACAACACAGATACAATTATGATACCTTTATCATACGATCGTAATACAATTCCGAAATTTCATCTTCCTCGACTTTCATTATGAAATTCAACCTAAAACCAACTTTAATGTAGAGTGAAGCTTACCCACATCTTGATTGTAGAGCAAATCTTCGAATTTCTTCTGTATTGTATAAATAAGAAAGAGATTTTGGACGATTAAAGAGAGAAATCGTATATCAACAGCTTTGGAAGAGGAAAGAATCTGCAATTCTGGGGGGGATAACAGTAGAAGAGGAGTGAGTAAGCGGGATTTTTGGGTTAGAAAGATTATGGGTATTAATGGGTTTCTTACTGTGGGTAAGTACAAAGAGGTGTGATGATTTTGGGGTTCGGTGGGTTTCTTACGGTAATGATTTTGGGTAAGTACAAAGAAAGGTGATGATTTTGGGTAAGTACAAAGACAAATATAGTTTCCTTGAAAAAAGGAAGAGTATCTTAAATATAGGGGATTATGTGTAACTAATACCGAATATTTAAGATATGTTTCATTTCCTCCTTTTTATGGTTTTGTAGAAAACTAGTAAATATAGGTATATAAAGTAATTAATAAGGAACCTAAATAAAGATAGTAAATAGGTTTCTATTATAGTATAGCTAGGTAAAAATCTCTTTTAACAGAAATAGCTTTTAAGCCAAAAAGTAATAAGTTGAGGTTGCCCAGCTTATTATTTTTGATTTGTTTTAAGTAATTTTTAACTTATTTTCACCACTTTTAAACTTTGTCAACCACTGAAAAAATTTAAAAAGAGATTAAAAGCTGATTTGACCAGCTTAAAAGCCCATCCAAACGGCCTGAATTCGTATACTCTAGGCTTAGGAGGCTCCAAGCTATCGGAGAGTTTGTGGAACAAAATTTACTTTGTTATTTGATGACAAGACGTGAGATTGATACAAACTCTTGAGCAATTGACTGTAACATGTTTCTCTCTATTGGTTAATCCCAACCCAACGGTTCACGACAAAACTCCGTGCAAGGGTAACACCGGAGTAAAGCTCAAATCGAGAGGAATCTAAGTCCATGCTCATGGCTCATGTTAATCTGACATGAGAGAAGAAAATCGAAGAAAACCTTAGAACAATCTAAGAGAGAGAAGAAATAATCCGGTCAGTCTCTAGAATAATGACCTGACTTGATTTTGTTATTTCAACAATAATATCTTTATAAATTTTACAACATGAGAAAATATAAAATGTACTATCACACCTCCTTTTTACGGGGAAAAGAGTTTTTCTAATTTATGTGACATTATTGAAATGAGATTTATTTTATTTTATTTTTAGAATCACCACTCGAAATTATTTAATTACGGTGTTCCAAGTCACCAATTATTTCAAATCTCAAATCAAGGAAAATTTAACTCCGTATAAGTTTGCGAAACACAAAAGACCGGTTAAGGAATCCTGTTAACCCGGAGAAGGCATAAGGCACTCCCGAATTTCGTAGTTTTAGCACGGTCGCTCTACTATTAAACTTGGCTTAGTTATCTGATTATTACATGTTTTAAACCTAGGTGCATCTTTGCCTTCCTACTGCTTTTAATTATATATTTTAGTAATTATGGAATTTATTTCATACAAGTTACGATGTCGCACACTTGTCGTTTTATACACATTGTAAATCACGCCACTTGAAACGCACCTGTAATTTACAACATGTTTAATTTTATTGTTACTTTTAAGTTATAAGGTCAAGTTATGCGAACGTGTACTTGAATTTGGAATTAAGTGTCACGGTTATGCCACGAGAATCGTACCCATAAGTATAAGGATAATTTATTAAAGCGCGCCTAAAGCAACAACGCGTGTTGACGAATTATTTTATTCTAAGTTCGAGATCAAGTGTGAAGGTCAAGAAATTATGGAGTTTGAGTCACGAATTCATAAGGACTTTGAAAAATTCATGACTAAACTCTTCTGTACAAATAGATGAATCCTTGTTAATTGACTAGTGTTGAGACTAGTGATGATTGTGGTGGTTAGACTTCATTAGTTAGTTAGATTAGCTGTAACTAACTTACTTAGAGTTGAGTTAGTGTAACTCAAGTTAGCTTAGTTTTAACTCTAGTCAAAAATTAAAGTTGGTTAATTATATATACTGTACATGTACATATACAGTAGTTAACAGAGCAATAAAACAGTGCTTCTTCTTCCTCAGAAATATCTCGCCATTTTCCTTCTCTCTCTGAAACTTAGATTTGCAGCTTCCAATCCATGGCAAGTATCCATGGTAGCTGATTTCTTCATGGTATCAGAGCCACACGACCATTAGTGTGGTCTTAGTTCCTTCCTCAATTCCGATTTCACGAAGCTCACTTGAAGGATCAACAATGGCGACGATTGACAACACTGAACCGGAGAAGCTAGGTCATAATCATCCACTCTACCTGAATTCCAACGACAATTCAGGAGCAGTTTTGATTTCACTACAATTGAAAGGGCCAGAAAACTACTCTATGTGGAGTCGAGCAATGCGGATTGCAATTTTAGGTCGAAACAAGCTAGGGTTCATCAACGGAACATGCAAAAAGGAAAATTACGGTACGAATCTCATTGACCTCTGGGAACGATGCAATGCGATTGTCCTATCCTGGTTGATGAACTGCATTTCACCGGAATTGCTGAGTGGTTTGGTGTATTCCTCGAATGCTAGTGAAGTTTGGGATGATTTAAAGGAACGTTTCGATAAGGTCGATTGCTCTAGGATTTTTCAGATCCATAGAGAAATTGCTACAGCTAGGCAAGGTACTAGCTCAATTTCCACTTACTTCTCAAAATTGAGAGTACTTTAGGCAGAATTTGACAGTTTAGCACCAATTCCTGGTCGAGATGCTGCAAATTCTCGTGATTTTGTTCAGTTTATGGAGCGTCAAAAGCTTCTGCAATTTCTGATGGGACTTAATGAGTCTTATGAGCAAGCTCGTAGTCAACTCCTGATGATGGTGCCAGTACCATCAGTGAACAAGGGATATTCTATGTTAATGGAACGTGAGAGCCAAAGAACTATGGCAAGTGCTTCTGCTAGCTTGGACAATGCTGAAATGACAACACTAATGGCTAATAGGGCTGGAAACCAACAGAAGATAAGGAAGAATTACAACCTTTTCTGTTATTTCTGTAAAATGAAGGGACATACTAAGGAGATTTGCTACAAAATAGTGGGATATCCGAATGATAACAAGTTCAGGAAGAAATACAACACACAAGCTGCAGCTAACATAGCAGTTGAACAGACTGCACCTGCAGAATGCATGCCAATTCCAACTCCTGTTGCACAAACCTTCACTCCAGAACAGTACCAGCAGATTTTGCAACTTCTAAATAGCAAGCCTATAGAGGTGAAAGCTAATGCAGCAGATCTTGAGTCAGGTAATATCACTTGTCTAATGACCTTTTTGAATCAGGGAGACTGGATTATAGATAGTGGAGCCTCAAATCACATGACTTCAACTATTGACTTGCTGAGTAATATCACTCCATTAGACAGTAGTAGCTCAGTTCACTTACCAAATGGAAACCTAGCTAAAATCACTCATAGAGGATCAGCTAATATTCTCAAAGATTGCAGAATTAGTGATGTGCTTCATGTTCCACATTTTAAGTATAACCTGCTGTCAGTTTCCAAACTTACTAAGGAGTTGCAATGCTTGGCTGTATTCTTTCCTGATCTATGTGTGTTTCAGGACCTCCACACTAGCAAGGTGTTGGGGATTGGTAGTGAAGCTAATGGACTATATATTCTTAAGAGCTGTCTCCATAAGAGGCAATCACCTACACCAACTGTAAATACCACAGCTATGCAGACTTCAACACAGAATAAGCAGAGCTCAATAAATTTGAGGATCTGGCATCAAAGACTTGGACACATGCCTATGGAAGCTATTAAGAAAATTGGCAAGCTCAAGCAGCATTTTACAAAGGAAGGATCAGAGACTATATGTTTTGATTGTTCTGTTTGTCCATTAGCTAGGCAAACTAGATTGCCATTTCCTGTTAGTACCAGTAGAACAAAGTGTCCATTTGAACAATAAAAGATTTTTTCTTACTATTGTTGATGACTACTCTAGAAGCACTTGGTTATTTCTGATGAACACCAAAGATGAAACTTGTTGGTTGATGAAGGGACTAATTTCCATGATTCATACACAGTTCAACTGGTCTGTTAAAGCTATTAGAACAGATAATGGATCAGAATTTGTCAACTCAGATGTGAGACACTTCTTAGAATCACAGGGGATCATTCATCAAACAACATGTGTATATACTCCACAACAGAATGGTGTTGTGGAGAGGAGACATAGATATATTCTGGAGGTAGCAAGAGCTTTAAGGTTTCAAGCTGTTATTCCTTTAAAATTTTGGGGTGAGTGTGTTCTTACAGCAGTGCACATCATCAACAGGATACCATCACAGTTCTAAAGGGTAAGTCTCCATATGAAAAGTTGTTCAATACTGAACCTTCTTTGGACCATTTGAAGGTGTTTGGGTGCCTATGCTATGTTGTGAATGTCAGAAGGCAAGACAAGTTCTCAGCCAGAGCTTTACCTGCAGTGATCATGGGATATATGATAATAGGCTATATAGTTGTTATTTACGCCATAATTACCCATGCTTTGTTGTTGTGTTGTAAGGTAAGTTGCCAATAAAATGCTTTAATTGATGCTATTTGGTTTCGCAGGGAATACAAGATGTGAGGAAGCAAAAATGAAGTGTTTGGAGGCAAAAACGTGAAGAAATCACCCATTCAAGAAGCACCCGAACACAAAAGAGCAAATGAGAGAAGTGACGCGGAGAAAAAAAGACCTTCAGTGCTTCCCGTGATCGGAGCCGCGGTCAGCGCTGCGGTTTTCTACAGAGGTGTCCGCGGTCGACGCCACGGCCGCGGTGGCTCGTGCACAGCCCAGAAATTTGAGGGGTCAAAGTGTCAACTCGGGAAAGCTTTTGTAAAATCCTTATAATATGTAGGAAACTCGCCCAAGGCTAGGTTAGGCTTATTTTGGAGATTATTTTGCAAGAGAAACAAGTGTAAGAGATCACCCAAAACATCATTGTTCTTATTCTCTCTTATTTTCTTGCAATTTACAATTATCAATCTTTTCGTAGATTATTTCCCCATTGTTATGAGTAGCTAAATACCTTAATCTAAGGTTTTGGTGGAACCCGTTGGGAATGACTTGGTTGTTTTATTAATATAGTTGGATTTCGTTGTAATCTCTATTTGTTCATCCATGTTTTGATTGTGGTTAGTTGAAGGGCCCTCAATTATCCGTTCCTATTTAGTATGTATCTACTTGAGAGAGAGTGCATATTTAGGTGATTGTATGAACAACATCACTCCCGGAGTATAGACGAGAGTCATAACCGAGGGTTTAGAGGTTGGATTAGAGATAACGATACCTCGGGAGCAATCTAAGTGAACTGTATTGAGAATCTAACTAGCGTAGCTTGAGAGAGTGCGTCTAGTAAATTATCATACTTACTTGAGAAAGATTTATGATAGCTGGAGCGTTCATGATTGATAGAGATAACTAAATCATAGTTATAAGACATATACAACCAAGGAAAGTCCCAACGGGGGAAACCATTACCCTAGACCTTATTCCTACTGTTTACACATCAAGTTTAGTTAATTTTAAGTTGTTAATTACTTTCAGTCTTTAGTTGTTAGAAAATCAACCATTGTGAATCAAAAAGTTTGGGAAAACAGATTGTGTGAATTTAGTAAATCTGACAGTAGTGATTGATAGGTTAGTTCCCTGTGGTTCGACTCTGGGCAATAATACTCAGATTATATTTGCAACGCCCGCATAGTCTTTTGTGAGACTCAGTTGAGCGTGATCAAATTTTGGCGCCGTTGTCGGGGACCTACGGTGTTATCAATTACAATTGAAAGAAATCCAAAAAATTCTAAGTGTAGTCAGTTTTCTCTATATCAATCTTTTCATTGAAATTCTAACGTTTGAAATCTTGTGGAAAGCAGGTGTATGCCTAGAAATTCTTCGAGGACTGGAGAACTACTAGAAGGACTCTCAGACCCCGAGAACATATTCAGGGCTTTGAACCGTGCCAACAAAGGACTTCAACAAACTCAACCAACACACCAACTCGAATTTGACATGGGTGACGTAAACGACGCCAACGGAAACATCAGGAATGAGCAAGCTGACTTAGATGTCAGAGAAGTGGCACCTCTTGTGCCCGAGGATGCGCTTTATGACTGGGCACAACCTACAACTGACNNACTTGATGAATCAAAGAAAATTCACTAGACTTGATAACTGATTCTGGGCTAGGGGGAGCTAAGCCAATATCCACTCCATTGGAATGCAATCAGAGACTGACTACAGCAGAATTTGATGAAGCTATTCTAGTTCCTGAAGATATTACAAAGGCAGGAGTGAAGGATAATGTATTACCTGACCTTGAACCTTATCAAAGGTTAGTAGGCAGGTTGCTATACTTAACCATGACAAGGCCTGACATAGCCTATGTTGTCCAGGTTCTCAGTCAATTCATGCATAAACCTAAAAGATCACATATGGATGCTGCATTGAGGGTGATTAGGTATATCAAAAATGCACCAGGATCAGGACTATTGATGTCTTCATAGCAATCTGAAAGCTTGGTTGCATTTTGTGACTCAGATTGGGCTACTTGTCCCTAGTCTAGGAAATCAGTCACAGGGTATCTGGTCAAGTTTGGAGATTCCTTGATATCGTGGAAGTCTAGAAACAAAATACAGTCTCCAGAAGTTCAGCAGAAGTAGAGTTTAGAAGCATGGCATCCACAGTGGCAGAAGTGTCATGGTTAGAGGACTATTCAAGGAGTTGGAGTCCAGATTCAGCTGCCTATTCACTTGCATTGTGACAACAAAGAAGCCATTCAGATAGCTGCAAATCCCATCTTCCATGAGAGGACAAAGCACATTGACTTTGATTGCCATTTTGTGCGAGAAAAATTGCAGCAAGGCCTTATTCAGACTCATCATATTAACACCAAGTTGCAATTGGCAGATATACTTACTAAAGGTCTAGGGAAAGTCCAGCACTACTCTTTACTTAGCAAGCTGGGAGTTGAAAATTTGTTCATACCCCACAGCTTGAGGGGGAGTGTTGAGACTAGTGATGATTGTGGTGGTTAGACTTCATTAGTTAGTTAGATTAGCTGTAACTAACTTACTTAGAGTTGAGTTAGTGTAACTCAAGTTAGCTCAGTTTTAACTCTAGTCAAAAATTAGATTTGGTTAATTATATATACTGTACATGTACATATACAGTAGTTAACAGAGCAATAAAACAGTGCTTCTTCTTCCTCAGAAATATCTCGCCATTTTCCTTCTCTCTCTGAAATTTAGATCTGCAGCTTCTAATCCATGGCAAGTATCCATGGTAGCTGATTTCTTCAACTAGTAATACTTTATGATTAAACTATGTTTGTTCTTTCTGTTGGAGTATATATCGCAGCGGATGCAATCACTGTATCATATTTACGTGTGAATTAAACAATTAGTACATACGGAGATTATTCGAGTTACCTCTTGAAGCGTGAACAAAGCAAATCAATATCCGTCTCCAGTTCTAGAGTTGCAAGACCTCAGCAAACTTTCACAGTCTTCTACCGTGTTACCCAAATAATATCCGAAAAGAGAGAACTTCGGGTGGGTGAAATTCAAGGAAGAAAAAGGTGTGGTTCTTCAGTGTAAAAAACGGCCAGCCATATCCCATGTATATATAGCTACGTTTTTTTAGGTTAAAGCCCCTTTCCAAAACCTGTTAGGTTTTCTTCTTCCACTAAGGAAATGTTTCCTTTATTTACTATTATTTAGGCACAATAGGGACCACAAAATTTAATTAACAAGGCTTCCTATTACGGAATCAATTTCGAAATTTGAAATTAATTTTTTCCATAATAAATTACGAATTATTCCACTAAAATTCGTAATTGCACTCCTTAGTTCAATTTTAAAATTCTTCCATAAAACCTTATTTAACTTCCCATGTTAGGATTCAGATACTAACCAATCAAATTAAATTACTGACAATTTAATTTATTGATTACTTCCTTTAGACTTTCACTTAACTTATTTCATGTGTCGGATACAAAATTCACCGGCCGGGTTTACACATGAAAACTTATAAGCTTTCATAAAGGAGTATCATTTATCTCAAAAAACCGAGACATGGATTCTATCAACTAATTATTACTTCGCCAATGTATATCACTATTGTCCAATTTACCAGGCTATTGATCCACGAAAGAATCTCGCCTTCTAATAAATCAAAGCAATAAATAATATACACAACTAATAATAATTATATCAAGATTAAGAGTATAAGTACATTGAATGGAATAGAGAAATTATTTATTAAGTCAGTATAAAATACATATCTCTACTTGATCCGTTCAATACATACAAAATGTACTAGCGCAAGAAGTTGGAATTAAACCATTCCCATAATCAAGATAAATTATATTTAATCTTGTGCTACAACCATTTTGATGGTTTGTCCAATTCCATCATTAGATTGTGAACATAAACTTTATGACTTATAAGAACCGATGATTTAATCTTCCGTGTATAAGCTAAACTCTGTATACTAAATCATCTACTATATAAGCAACAGACATACAAACAAATACATGATCTATTTAAAATAAAACTTTATTGAATTGAATAAATAAATAAACAATTGTTCCATAAATAATACTATAACAATACACATGGTTTATAGTATATCCTTAACACTTTCCACTTAATTAACTTCTATAGAGATTATTATTGGACTGACCAAGATCAAAGTGAACTCATGTATGGAGAGTAAGAGATTACAAATCAATTGGGATGGGGATGCATTTCACGTTATTGGACTACTGATAAGACATCACAAAGAAATCAATATCAATTATATGGGCTTCCAACAGGCCCGTATCTATGGGGGATTTGCATCTATACCCAATTTTTTGGGTCACAATTTAACTTATACCCGCTTTGCAAAAACAATTGCAAGCGTACCCACTTTTCGGGTAACTTCAGACATACGGGGCATGAAGTAGCAAGAATTTATATTTGAAGTTTGAACTTCAGAATTTTTTGCCTAAAGTGTGACCTTATCAAAGTAAAACTGCAGATATTTTCGTCTGAAGTTTGGCCTGACTCGCAAAAGCAATCAAAAACTTCAGTTCGTAGTGCAAACTTCAGACAAATTAGTCTTCTTCAATTTGTAGTGCAAACTTCAGACAAATTAATCTGAAGTTCTTTAGTTTGTAGTGCAAACTTCAGACAAAATCAGCTTGTTATATTTGAACTTCAGATAATTTTCCTGGCATGATAGTTGCAAACTTCAGACAAAATTTAACCTGGTAATGTCTGAAGTTTGGCCCTGCAGCAACTTCAGTTGATGCTTCTTCGAGTTTTGGCAATAACCTCTTGTTTTATTATTTACGTACTTTGTGTTGGGATGTATTAATGTTTGAGAGGCAGTGGCAAGTCTTTCTTTCTTTTTGATTTGTCGCTTTGTCCAATTTCCAGAAACTATAACATGTGTAGTTTACAGGATAACATGTTTGAGAGAGAAGAAGAAGAAGAAGAAGAGGAAAAGAAGAGGAGGAAGAAAGGAGCGCATAGGTCGCAGGATCTGAAGTTGTCAAAATTAGGGTATAGGTTAAAAAATTTTAAAAATATGGGTATAGGTTAAATGGGGGCGACCAAATAGGGCGCCCCATGCAATTTTTACGTATCTATTGAGTTGGCATAGCCAGTTGGTTTTAGGCCCATATGACCTTACAGCTTGAGATTCATGGACTCCATTTGCTTTCCAAAAAAAAAAAGGATTTTTACATACCTATACACTATTGGAAACTCTATTACCCTCCGTACTCATGATTTAATCTAATTACATAATATATACAAAATTACCAATTATGTACATTTTTAGGCATTTAATGATAATAACCAAATCGTAAAATCACTCTAACGTCTATATCCCACTCCCCCCACGTTTCTCTCTACATCCCCCCTCCCTCCTTCCCCACGTATCTTCAGTATCCCCCTCCATTAACGCTTGTTTCACTCTTCTTCAAAAATCCGTCTATATTTTTTCACTCTTCTTCAAAAATCCCTCTCCATTTTTAAGATTCAACCTCTAAATACTCTACCACACACCTCCATTAACGCATGTTGCTTGCTTAACTTTCAATGAAGAAGAAAATATTTTCGAAGATCAACCCTAATTCCAGTAAGAGAGCAGCAATTCCACCGTTGACAACCATTAAAAAGCTTTGAAGCTTTGAATTCAAATTTGGGTTTTCAAAAACCATTATTTGTTTGGATTGGGTGTTGTTGCAAACAATTGGGAATATTGTTTGGAGTTTATATTTCAATTTTGAGGGCATTTTGGTGAAGCTTAGACTTGATTTCGGCTGAATTTCAGATTGAAACTCGAAGAAGAAGAAGAAGAAGACATGACATACATTATACTTATGAAATTGTAGTAAAGTTATAGAAAATTTATAGAAAAATTGTATTCTGTTGTGTGTGTGTGTATGTATATATATATATATATATATATATATATATATATATATATATATATATATATATATATATATTGTATGAAAGTTGAACAATATTGTATAAAAATTATATTTAAGTTGTATGCCATTGTAGTTGTATATAACTGGGTAGAAATAATGTATGAAAGTTGTAGATATGTTGTAGATAAATTGTAGACAAGTTGTATAATATATAATTAGTTGTATGAAATTTATTTTTACAATGAATAAATCAGATATAAAATATACAAAAGACATATTGTATAAAATTTGTATAAAATTGTATTTAAGTGGTATGATATTGTAGCTGTATGTGAGTTGTATAAATCTCCAGATTGAAGCAACATGAATAGGGAGACGTTCAGTTTTCAAGTCAATTTGAAAGATATTGTTAACTCCCCTTAGACTTGCAAGGCATTAAGATAATTAATTGTTATCCTACTGTTATACAAATACATAAATCCTGATTAAGACTCTAGCTAACTAGGGACGGTGTAGCTGAACCTGATATTATTGTTATTTCACGTATACTTAGCTTGAAACACACAATTTGTCACGACCCAAAATCCACTAAGGGTCGTGATGACGCCCGACACTACTATCTGGCAAGCCAACACCATATAACTAGTAAATTTTCCTTTTAATATTTTCAAAATCATTTCTTCTAAACATTAATGAATAATAAACTTCACTGAATAAATAATGATGTCTTCACAACATTTATTTACTGAAAAACCCCGAAATCATCCCAGAACCCGGTGTCACAAGTGCATGAGCAATCACTAGGAAATCAAATGAAGTACAATAACTGTCCGGAATACAAATTTGGACAGAAAGTAAATACAATACACTGAAAGAGACTATGTTGGTTGCGGGTCACGTCGAGAGATGCAGCTCGCCTAAATCTCCGTATCATCCATGCTACTACGCCCATTAGGCCACTAGAGGTATATGTGCATGACATCAAGTATAGCATGAGTACAAAAACAACGTGTACTGAGTAAGTATCCCGTCTAATCTCGAAGAAGTAGTGACGAGAAGTCGACTTCGATACTTACTAATAGTCCAATAATATCATTACAGTAAAAAAGTGAATAAGTATGAAACAGGGCAAATATATGAAATAAACATGTATAAAACACATACCATCCCCCTTTTTCATAATTTTACTCAAGTTTTCAACGAGCAAGTTTCCTCCGTAACCGGAGCATATGTGTACAATTATAGTGGTTTCCGTCAAGAAAGTTATCAGGATTCAAATCAGGGAAAATCCCTCAGATACACCGGCCTCTGGCCAAGTTTTACGCACGATTCCATGTGTATATATATATATATATATATATACATATATATATATGTCACGACCCTAAAACCGATTCGGTCGTGATGGCGCCTATCGTGAAAGTAGGTCAGCCGACACCATTCCCAAGTCAAACCATTATTCTATAAAATTTATTTTTTTATTAACAAGAAACCTCATAATATAAGTCTAAATAATCAGTGCGGAAAACATAACACAAGCCCGACATCGGGGTGTCACTAGTCATGAGCATCTACTACAACGGTCTGACAACCTCAAGACCAACATGG